TTCTAATGTTAACTTAGCAGCGGTCTTTTAATGAAATTAAAATTTTCAGACCGTAAAGTTTGCACTGAAGTTCTCATTTCGTTAGAAATATTAAGAATTCTTTGCTAAAGTTCTTCGGTTGTATTCACTTCTGGTGAATAGACCGTACTTTTTAAATGGTCCCAGAAGTAAAAATCAAGCGTGTTTAAATCGGGAGATCCAAGGGGCGAGTTTATAGGAGCTTCTTGACCTCTAGCAATCCAACGGCCTGGAAAGTTTTGATTAAGCCGAAACGATTTAATTTTTTGCGGCAAACTAGCGCCCTTAAGAGAAAACAATAAGAGATACAAAATTGATAAATAACTTGTAGTAATTAAAAAAATTATGTTGATAAATGTTGAAGTGCACACAAAAAAGTTCCACATTTCTGCCCTGTATAAAAGTAAACTGAACTACTAAACACTACCATAGAATGGCCTTCAATTATCTTATAATGTGTACCACAATTTAAGTTCCCAATGTTTAACCGTTTTAAAGAAAAACAACAAAAACTAATATTTTTCGCCATTTTGGTGATCAAATATCTCAAAAATGAGACCTCAAGTTAAAAAAATTCTCAGGAAGACCCCCCTTTAAAATGACTAGGAGAACACGCTGCTGAAATATTTTAACATATTTACGGAACACCCTGTATAAATAACAATTATAAAGAAAATCAAACACCATTTTAGTTTATTCACTGGGGTACCATGATTTGTACGATAATGTCTATTGAGATTTCCCTGTGTTGAAAAGCTTTTTTGACAAATACTGCAAACATTGGAACTAATGATATAAAATGTATAAAATTCTAACCCCACCTTTTTAAGATTTGACACTTGACACGATACCTGACATAACATTAGATACTGGCAACGTTGTATTCCAAGGGGGCTACAATTAGTCAATTTTTTGGATAAATCCTGAGCACGCCACTGGATAGGCTAATGAGGAATAGTTGAATTCCTGTCTAAACCGAGCCTTGGAGAGTTTTTGGCACCCAAACCAATTTGTGAGGTTTCTTTGGAAAAGCGTCCATCCTCAGGCCAGTGTTTGGCGTCATCCCCTTGCAGCCACCCTCGACCGGGGGAGTTTTCGCACGCTCTGACCCGCTTACTCGAAACGATTCCCCGATCGAACGATGCTGTTTATTATGCCAAATTGCATTCGGCAGCTTTAATTAGCCTTCAAACGATGCCGCATTAATTTTAGATCCCTGATTGATTCCGTTTCGCTGATTGTTTCACTCGAATGCCGGTTTTAGCGACAATCATGCCAATCGCGCGCCTGAAATGCAGCCGTGCCGGCGAACCGGTGGAGGAGTTCGGATGCGTACCGCCTACCCCTGCCCGTGCTGGGATCGGGACGCATCCGAACTGGTCCAGGACCGCAGTTGTTTTGTCGGCCAAGGATCAATTTATTTGATCCGCTTTGACGTTGTTTATTGATCTTAATGATCGATTGGGCTGTCACATGTGGCGTGGAGGCGCCCAATTGGCCGAGAACCGAATGACCTTTTTCTGACTGTTTGTACAGAGAGAGACAGTGGCAGGCGGGCAGGGGACGCGGTAATTAGTAACACGCAATTGAGAGAAAATTAGGTGTATTTATAACCGGGCAATTAAGACATTGCACATTGACCGTAGTGTAACCTTCCAGCTGAATTGAAGTCGATTTTTCCATTGGCGTGGCCATCGGCCGGGTAAAAGGAGACCGATCGGCCTCACAGTATGACAATATCGGTTACCGGTGAATTAATACATTAAGCGCCCCGATATCGGAAACGTTGCGCAACACGTTCCCACAAGTATCGCAGCGATTGCGCAACCACCGGCCCACGCTGGTGGCGAACGGCCGGAACAGTGAGTGGCACTTTGGTCCTTCGAGCTGGACGCCATTAGAGCAAATCGCGCTGGCATAGAGGGCGTGCGAGCAGTAGAGCCATTAAGGAAAATGGCCACCTACGCCGGGCTCTTCCTTGGCGGTGTAATGAAGCGCGCTTCCGCCACACGAAAACAATGTAATGATTGTTTTTTTTGCCATTCTGTTCGGTTTTTGCCGCCGCGCTTGGGAAACACGTCACGGGCATTAGTGACGACGAAACAGCTTAGAATCTCATTAGTCGATGACGGTCTGTTTGTTCGCGACAGCCAATCCGGAACCTGCGTTTCTCCATGCAATCCGTCGAAACGACAAACAGTTTAATTGCGAATGTCGCTAAGCAGGCTTGAGCTGATGGTGCTGCAATGGCGATTTTTGGCCTTTTGAAGGCCATCGTGCCACTCTTTCCTCCATCCGGAAGCCCTTAAGTGTGCGTTTCTTGTTTGGATACAGTGTGGAACGCTGTGCGCTCATCGGGTTTTGAGGTTATGGGGGTCATACAGTGCCGTGCCCGTCGGTGTTGCAGCTCTATGTATCAACAATCGCACTAGAATTCGATGTATTTGTTGTGCTGATCCCTACGGGCACGACACTCATTTAGTTCAAAAACTACGCAAAGCGCAAGTTTAGACAGTTTTTCCGTATTCAAATCAGTGTCGTGCCCGTAGGGCTCGGCACAACAATCGCACTAGAATTCAATGTATTTGTTGTGCCGATCCCTACGGGCACGACACTCGTTTAGTTCCAAAAACTACGCAAAGCGCAAGTTTAGACAGCTTTTCCGTGTTCAAATCAGTGTCGTGCTCGAAGAGCTCGGCACAACAAATACATTGGATTCTAGTGCGATTGTTGTGCCGAGGCCTACGGGCACGACACTGGTTTGGTGGCAAAAACTACGCAAAGCACAAGTTTAGAGAGTTTTTTCGTGTTCAAATCTGTCGTGCCCGAAGTGCTCGGCACAACAAATACATTGGATTCTAGTGCGATTGTTGTGCCGAGCCCTTCGGGCACGACACTGATTTGAAAACGAAAAAACTCTCCAAACTTGAGCTTTGGATAGTTTTTGGAACTAAATGAGTGTCGTGCCCGTATGGCTGGGCACAACAATCGCACCAGAATCGCATGCATTTGTTGTGCAGAGCCCTTCGGGCACGACACTGATTTTCTGACCAAAATTGAGCAAAAGGCAAATTTTACAAGGTTGGCGTTTTTTCGTGTGCAAATCAGTGGCGTGCGCGAAAAACTCGACAGAACAATCCGATTAAACGTGATTCGATGGCAAAGTGGTGCCGAACCGTGCGCTTCGGTTGGAAGCGATGCCCCGTCCCCCAAAGCTCCCCCAAAGCTCCTCCAACGCTCCCCCCAGCGCTCGCTCTCTGGAGCAGCAGGAATAATATTAAAACGCTCCCGATTGAAGTTCGGTTTCTTTGATTTTCGCGCGCCCAAAGAGTGAATTGGACCGAAACTGGATGCAATTTGAATTCCCAAAGTCGGATGCATCCGAGACGCCGGCCGGAGGATCATTGTTTTGTGCAAATGACGACTTTGCAGGAGCAGCAGGATTAACCGGTCGCCACTGGCATATGAGTGCCGATTTGTCCATGGATGGCAGCCTGGAAAAGGGCTCTTTAGCGCTAATGGGCCAATTTCGTGGCGAATGGCCGGCACGTGCTCCAATCGGTCGTCCAGGCCGGAATCAAGCGCTGAACTCTGGCCGACTTACATGGCGACGAGCTCGTCTGGAGATCGGCCGATCATTGTGGTAGTTTGAAAGTCAAATTCGGCTCAAACTAGTGAAGATGCGACC